AGCCAAAAACTCTCTAGTACTAATTGGCTTTGCTACTGATTCACTTTGGGTACATCTACATTGCAAGTGCAGATGCGATTGTAGCATGGATAGGCAGATGTGGTGACATGGGCTTCAGCCAAGTTAGCCCCCCAAGTGCAAGTCTTCAGGGGACCCTGGAATATGCTTGTGGTGCGAGGCACCGTTTGTTCACTACTACTATTGTTAGTGTAATTCCATATGTTAAAATCACACCTTCACTTGCAATGTAGACATACTCTTTGCAAGTCACTCATGGTTAGAGTGTCACAGGTCTTACTTCCATGCTCATCCTGGCTCAGATTATCACACAAGCTGTTAAAGAAAGAGCAGGCGCTACATACCCAGTGCTCTCAATTTCACATGGGAAGGAGAGATACCTGAGAGAGACAAGAAGTGACCTGGCCCTCTTCTTCTTCACCAGCTGGAGTAGCCAGCCATGCACACACTGTAGGATACATAAAATACTTCATGAAAAAGGATGCAGCAACATACTCCTTATCTAGCATGAAGAGGGGAGAAACTATAACTCTCTGAGTCTGTTTGGTCTATATGTGCTGCTCCTTAGCCTGGGTATATTGTAAAGTTTGCGTTCTAGCCCTTAACATCACTGGTTCCATTTTTCTATCTTTAAAATGGAGAAAATGATATATACCTGCCTGTCTGGAGTATTAATGAGAAGGTTTTGCTAATTTTTATTATATACTTTGATCTCAGAGTCATCTGTAAAAGCGGTAAGTGTTATAAACTTTTGGCTGGTGAATTTTCAGTCTTCAGTCATTCCTTTCACCCATAAGATACAACAAAGGGAAATGTTGCAACTGAAAGTTTACTTTAGAGACAATTTCCATAAAAACAGAGTTTGAGTCATCTGCTTGCAGGCCCCTTAGTAGTCTGCGTGGCATAGTCAAGTTTAACTGGAAACATATGCTTCAGTCTGAGTGACACGCAACTGATTTTCTGCAGAAGGTTCCTGGCAGCCAGAGGACAATTTGTAATGAAACTAAAGATGTTTTGAGGAATAAACAATACAGAGAAAGAAATAACCGCCATGGGTGAAATGTTCAAAAATAACCGATTGATTTAGCAGATTAAATCCCTGCTTGAAAAATTGGCTCTGGTACTAAGGCATTAAAAAGATTTTGGCTCCTGAATGTCTACATCACTTAGAAAAATGGGATCATAGAATCATAGATGTGTAAGACTGGAAGGGACTGCAAGACATCACCAAGTTCAGCTCTTTGCACTTAAGGCAGGATTATGTAATAACTAGACATTTCCAAACAAGTGTTTGGTTAATCTGTTCTTAAAAACCTCCAATGACAGAGATTCCACAGCCTCCCTATGTAATTTGCCCTGCTGCTTAACTACCATGACAACAATTTTTCTTATTGTTTAACATAAAGAACCCTTACTGTAATTTAATTTAATTTAATTTAACAGTCCCATTGTTTCTTGTCTGCAATGAGGACTTTTGAAAATTTTACACCTACTCAATTATATTTTTGCTGAGTATCCATTTCTGTACATGTTAAATGCTAAAAGAGAATCTGATGTAAAAATAAACGTAAAGGTAAACTAAATTACTACATTTTTTCTAATCCAGCATCCATTCTTGATGTTCGTCATCAGTCTTTACTAGACAACCCCTCTCTCACACTCTTGAGTTCAGAGTAAAGATCGAAGGACTGAAGCTATAATTGGTGGTTGCTCTCTACAAGTCATTGCTCTCAGTAAAGGGTTCTGTGGCATATGGAAGGTCAACCTAAATGATTTAATAGTTTCTTCTGGTCTTATGATATTTCAGGGAATGGCCATTTTTAAAGTGATAGGTTAACACATTCTATTGGATGGAATTGCTTGTTCTGGCACCCTCAGGACTTGAGCTGTCCCCAAGCAAGGGATTTGCTGAACCAGGGGAGGACGATTCTGGCCCCTGATGGCTCTGGGGTCTCCTGGGGGCCATCAGCAGATGGCTGGGCTCCCCTCTGAGCTCCACGTCCCCACCTGGCTCCTCTGTGGATAGTCTGGCTCCTGTCCTGGCCACCATCCTTGCTGCCAGGCTTTCTATCTGCACCCCTGTGGTGCCAGTTTGCCCCAGCCCCTGCCGCCGGGTGGGTTCCATGCTCCCAACCGGGCTGTGCTGCTGAGTCCGGCCACTGGTTGGACTTGATGCCCCCAGCAGGGCTGCTCTGCCATTCCTGGCCGGTGGGTGGACTCTGTGTTCCTAGCAGGGCTGCTCTGCCAGTCCCAGCTGCCAGGCAGGCTCCATGCACTTGGCTGGAAGGTGCTGCCAGGCCCAGCCTGGATCACCGGTCTCCACTCTTCTGGCTCCCTGCCCCTGCTGGCTCTGCTGCCAGTCCTGCACCTGGCCCCTAGACTCCTTTCCCTGGGGCTGTCTGGTCCTGCAATATCCATGGTCCTGCCAGACCACAGATGTTGCTGGACCAGAGAATTCCAGACCACAGAGGTTCAACCAGTTTACAAAATTGTAATCTAAAATTAGTATAGTAAGAAAAAAAAATCATGAATATGTACCAGATTTCTGGACATCTCCTCACTTCACCTACTTGTTAGGAAGTGAAGCAGCTCATCAGAAATCACTGTAAAAACACAGATATGGTGTTTGGATGACAAATACATGCTTAGGCCTATTTGAAAAAGAACTTACATACTTCCATGTACTTAAATCCCATTTATTTCAATTAGACCGAAAACGTGGTTAAAATTAAGTGCTTTCTTGAACAAGAACAGGACAATAGCCTCAAAATTTGATTTTTTAAGAACACACGCATTCCTTGCTTCCTTCCTAAGCTTTCTAGGTGGTCTGAAGACTGTGTGAACATCCATCATTTTGCTCACAGATCATCCAAAGCACAAAAGCCAACCCTTGCTTATACAAGAAATCCATATTGAAACAGATCCTCAGTCAAACTCCCAGTGAGATCTGTATCAATATGAACATAAGAATGGCCATACTGGGTCAGACCAAAGGTCCATCTAGCTCAGTATTCTGTCTGCTGACAGTAGCCAATATCAGATGCCCCAGAGGGAGGGAACAAAACAGGTAATCCTCACTTGATCCCTCTCCTGACATCCATTTCCAGACAGAGGCTAGGGACGCGATTCCTACCATCCTGGAGAATAGTCATTTATAGACCCAACCTCCATGAATCTATCTAGCTCTTTTTTGAACCCCTTAAAGTTCTAGTCTTCACAACATCCTCTGGCAAGGAGTTCCACAGGTTGACTGCGCATTGAGTGAAAAAAACTTCCTTTTGTTTGTTTTAAACTTGCAGCCTATTCATTTCATTTGGTGACCCCTAGTTCTTATATTGTGGGAATAAGTAAATAACTTTTCCTTATTCACTTTTTCCGCACCAGTCATGATTTTATAAACCTCTATTTTATCCCCCCTTAGTCTCCTCTTTTCTAAGATGAAAAGTCCAAGTCTTTTTAATCCCTCTTCATATGGGATCCATTCCAAACCCCTAATCATTTTTTATTTTTACAAAAAATCACTTATGGATATCTTGCATAAGCACAAGCTGTGTGTACCCTACAGTGCTTAATTATGCAAAACTCATGTTGGTAAAATTTGAATTTTGCTTGGGTGCAGATTAGATCAAATTATTTGGGTGAGCTATTTTCATCAAATAATTTATTCAATGAATTTAAGTGTCCCTTTCAACTCACGAATTATTCACTAAGAGATTTCAGTTTGTATTAATGTGTTAAATGGAATTAATGAATTGTTTATATAAACATATTTCTGTTGTAAAAAAATTAGCAGTCCTGTGGTACCTTTAGGGTACGCCTACGCAGCAACACTAAAGTTGAATTAAGCTACACAACTTCTAATATGTCAATTGCATAGCTTAAGATGACATAGCTTAATTCAGCTTTTTGTGCTGTTTACACAGCAAAAAGTCAAAGGAAAGTCATCTTCCTTCGACTTCCCTTACTCCTTGTGAAATGAGGGTTACCATGAGTCGGAGTAAGAAGTCCTCCAGCTCGACATTATTTTGAAATAAAGGCTTGTAGTGTAGATGCACACTATGTTAAACATTAGAGACTAACAAATATAGTTTATCATGTGCTCAACTGAAAACCCAACTCATCTGATGATTTGGAGTGGAAATTACAGAATCCAGAATATATGTAATAGCAAAAGCAGTTACCTGTCAATTATATGACCAGTATGCTAATTGAGTCAGTCTGTATATGTCCCTTTCATAGCTTTTGATGTGTAGGTAAAAAAGGAACTAAAATATGAATGCGGAATAGAACTTCCTTGCCTTGATCACAATGAATATATTTACTGAAAACAGAATGGCTGAGTGGAAGAAATGTCTCTGTTGTTAAGTGTCTGATTTAAAAACACTTCATCTGTGCAGAAATATGATCTCTCTCATGGGCACAGAGATTGATAGTAAAATACTACAGAAAATGCTACAGAAAAGCCTGCCAGTCACCCATGGGAAAAGAGTTTGATGGCTTCTTTACATTCAATTTTTATAACATTTCTAAAAAAAATGTGGCAAAGGGAAAATGTGGTTGTGACATCCATGGTCTGAATGCAAAACCCTTACAAGAAATCACAGGGCCGTATGGTAAAATGCACTAATTATGAACCTTGGTACCAGCCACCTCAGCTGCACTCTGACTGCTCATTCATGTCACCCCAGACTTATTCTAATTTTCAAACATTTTAGCAGCTGCAGTCACTCATTGAAATCAGCCTGCCACAAAAACAAAGTATTTCCTTTCTCTATATATGTGGTATTTCCTCTCCCTCGCTCCGTTCAGTTTTCCACTGGTCCAAGCCAAAACCA